GACAACTTCTTTATGTTTACAGACGTGACGTAATGACGCAGTGCCATGCTCGAATTTCCCGCGAAAACCTACCGTACCACTCAAATAAAAAAAAACATTATCATAAGATAACCGATGTGAATCGGGCTAAAGTAAGGAGATAGTTTTGAACACTGGCTGGTTATATACTTGCTCAAATATTGATTTCGGATCATTTTTAACCAAAAAAAGTTACGGAGTGCAGCTTTAAGATAATACATTTTAACGTACGTAATTCAAAATGCACATATCAAAACTGTAGATGTGAAGTTTTACCAGTGGGATTGTGACATCCTCATATGGCAGTCTGTCTTCTCTCCAGGCATCATCTGTGAGATCGAGAACTCTTCCATCTCTCTGCACTTCACTGTCCATGATCAGACTTCGGTACACAATCAAAAGATCAAACTACGTTGAAACACTCTATCTATCGTAAGTTATGCAGTGCATGGATGTCATAAAAGTACTCTTATTATGAAAGCTATTAAATGATCTTAGTAAAAGTAGTAATACAGACCCGTGCAGTCTTCTGTCCAGCGCTGCCGTTTGTTGTTATGTCGCTCTTTGATGACGATATCTCCTATTCATTGGACCTTTTCTGCCTACATAACTATTTTTCTACAACATAGTCGAGCCGATGTGATTAATTGAAACTGAGTAATCACAATGTTTCTTTAACAGACTATGATTCATCTGTAAGTTAACGCCATACAGCGGTGTACGGTTTATGAACGGACCTTTTCATTGATTCTTTTCAACCGGTTCACAAACCTCGTCTAATTGAATCGTTCACAAATTGTTACGAACAAAACGTGACGGAAATGTTTACTAGGTATAAAATATGTATTACAGCTCTATGCAGAGTTGGTTTTACTAAAACGAACAAAAACATTTCAGATGGAAATGAATTTAGAGTTGTTTAGCCTATTGGAAATCTAAATTATATTTATTTTCTAAATGACTGAATTATGTCTATAACAAACTGAACTGAGGCAGATTTAAATACAATAACAATAATTAATAATAAAAGCCAATCGAGAAAGTCACAAAGAACAAGATGTGCGCTTCGTGATGATGCAATTATACGTAACGACGTCAAAGAATAATTGAATCTGTTTTCAACCGGTTCTTCTAGACGAACTGTTCAAAAGAACCGAGTCGCAGAAAAGAGTTGGACCTCCTATCACTAACGCCATGACCAAATCTCGCATCTGTCCAATGAGATGTCAAGAAACGGCCTCGCGCTGCGAGGAAGTGAGCCGCTATTGGCTGCGTCAGTTTGTGTTTCTACAGTGAGAGCAGAAGGACGGCCTCTGTGAGGCTTTTAACCTCACGTATTTTCTCATCTGGTGTGTCTTCAAAAGCACCTTTACAGGTGAGCTGATTGTTTCCTACAATTACAGCATTTGGGTTCAGACATGAACATGTATTATCAACAATAATACTCTGCATTCATTAAGTTAATTATTTAAAGGCCTTTTTGTTCATTCACATTTTAGACAGTTAATAACACTTGTGTCCAACTCATAGGGTCAAAGATGGACCTTGTGCTCAACGTTGCAGATTATTACTTCTTCACTCCATACGTGTATCCCTCATCATGGCTGGAGGACGAGCCTCTGCGGCAGATCATCGGCTTGATGGTGGTCACCAACCTGGGTGCTGCGATCTTATATCTAGGCCTGGGTGCTTTGAGCTACTTCTTCATTTTTGACCACAAATTAATGCAACACCCTCAATTTTTGGAGGTTTGTTTCTCCATCTAGCAATCTACAGTCTTTAAAAGCAGTATATGTGACCCTGGACCACAAAACCAGTCTTAAGTCTCTGGGGTATATTTGTAGCAATAGCCACAAATACATTGTATGGGTCAAAATTATAGATTTTTCTTTTATGCCAAAAATCATTAGGACATTAAGTAAAGACCATGTTCCATGAAGATATTTTGTAAATTTCCTACCGTAAATATATCAAATCTTCATTTATGATTAGTAATCTTCATAGCTAGAACTTCATTTGGACAAATTTAAAGGCGATTTTCTCAATATTTAGATTTTTTTGCAACCTCAGATTCCAGATTTTCAAATAGTTGTATCTCTGCCAAATATTGTCTTATCCTAACAAACCATACATAAATGGAAAGCTTATAAATCTCAATTAAAAAAAATTGACCCTTATGAATGGTTTTGTGGTCCAGGGTCACATATTTATATACGTATATAATATATGTGTATGTTTTTTGTTCTATTTTTGTCCACAGAACCAGGTGCAACGTGAAATAAGGTATGCTCTGTGGTCTTTGCCCTGGATCAGTGTACCAACAGTAGCACTGTTTTTCGCCGAGGTCAGAGGATACAGCAAACTGTATGACAGTGTCGATGAATCGCCACTCGGTGAGGTCCTTTGCTTTATCAAATAGGTATATAAAGTGCTGGATATGTGGAAACCACGAGTTTTTAAACTTTAAGGAAAGCTAGGCCAGAAACATTAAAAATGATTGAATCTGGATGCAACAAACTGACAGCCCTAATTGTAGAAAGCGCCAGTGATGCAGCCTGTCAGATGTGCTTTAGATAATCATGTTGCTATGGGCATAACCATCTCATACTATTTCTGCTTGTTTTTCAGGATGGTCAGGACTGATTTTCAGCATGGTCTCTTTCCTGTTCTTCACTGACATGTGCATTTACTGGGTTCACAGATTCCTTCACCACAAGTTGATATATAAGGTATTTAAGATATATATATATATATATATATATATATATATGAACTGCCTTGCGTTGACATTTAGGTAAATATGAGCAAAGATGGGTAAATTCCTGTTATGTAGTGTTTATATATATATATATATATATATATAAGTAGATAGTAAATATTTAATTTAAAGTAAATATGCCCTGGTCAAGCTCAGTTACTTATAGTTTATTAATTAACAACGGGCAAGAAAATGAATAAGATGGTAATAAAGAGTAATATTACAACAGATTAACAGGGTGATATTATTGAGGACACTGGAAATCTTAACCTATTGAAACAATATTCTCAAAGAAAACATGCTTTGAAAATGATGAGAAAGTAAATAATAAAGAGAAAATCTAATTTTGTTATTTTATGTTTGTTTTATGTAATTAAATGTTATTTTAGAATTGTTTATGTACTATGATGGTATTAACATTTGAATTAGAGTTTATTTTCAGTTTTAATTTTTGTTAGTGTGTTTTGGTGATTTTATGCACTATTGTCATTTTTTAATCCTTTAATGTCTTTTATTTTGGGTTCAATTTGTCGTTTTAAAACTTCAACTTAAACAATTCAGTCACATTTTTTACGTTTTTTTTTTTTCATATAATATTTATATTTTATTGTTTCACTGTTTTAAAAGTTGCTCAGTATCTGGTGCAAAAATGACAATATAAGCTTTAATTAGTGAGATGATTTTAAATTCACCTAATTCACTTTGTGATATTGAATAAAAAGTTGAAAATTAACTGTTTTCATCTTTATAAAAAATGTGAATTTAATATTTTAACCACCATATTAACATCTGTATGATAGGTACATAATAATCATACAGATGATTATTGATGATTGATTATTGATTGATTGATATTGATGATTACAGATGACAGTAATAATGACACACCTACATGGTTCAAAATACAACATATTTGATCTATTTTTGAACATGCTTTCAGCTGCCAATAAAAGTGTAGTACTCTCAGCTCCATTTAACTTACTTTTTGTTTTAATCTTTTCCCTCATATACAGTATTTTCACAAACCACATCATGTGTGGAAGATCCCCACTCCGTTCGCCAGCCACGCTTTCCACCCCGTGGACGGATTTGTTCAGGGCCTGCCATACCACATCTACCCCTTCCTCTTCCCCCACACAAGATTCTCTACTTAGTCCTGTATGTGTTCGTCAACATATGGACCATTTCCATCCACGACGGAGACTACCGCGTGCCCAACCTGATGGAACACGTCATCAACGGTTCAGCTCACCACACAGACCACCACCTCTTCTTCGACTACAACTACGGGCAGTACTTCACCCTGTGGGACCGCATCGGAGGCTCCTACCGCTATCCTTCAGCCTTGATGGGGAAGGGGCCACATGACCACATTAAAAAAATGATGGCAGAAGGGAAGCTGAACTCAAACGGCGTAAACAGCCAGACTAATAATAATAAAAATGGTGTCCATGTCAAGAAAGAGTAGGTAGGCAGAATAAGCATCAGTTTCAAGGTAAGATTTTTGCTCTTAAAATAGGTTCTTATTCACAAGAGACTCTTAGCACTAAAATAATCAGTTCTGCATAAAATTGCCAAAAAGAAGCAAGGACAAAATGTGAATATTTTTGCCAAATAGAAACATTTGCTATGGCTACCTTGTTGGTATTCTTGCTTTTGTGTAACTTAATATGAATAACTTAAATTAACAGGCTTCTGTCAAGTGAGCGTCTATAATTTCACTGTCATAAACATTCAAAGAATGTATGAAGATTGACAGACTTTCTCTTCCCTTCACCTCAGTTCACCTTTCCATTAGCAGACTCTGACTTTCTCCATAGCTTTGTTTATCTATGAACTGATAAATGGTTCAGAGACCTGGTGGAGGATTTTTGCTCATCTGCAGTCATCTTGTTTTAAAAGAGATTCTGTGGTTTGCTTTTGATATGAAATGCACATTATTTCCAAATAAAAAAATCGCTGTGTTTCATTAGTGTTGTTATATTGTGCATGGGAATCTGAGGTCAAGTCAGGTTATGTAATTCTGCACTTATTCTTCGGATTGACAGACACCTTGATTGTGGAGAAGAGAGCCAGAGTTAGTGCTCAAGTAACATGATTGTTAATAGCTAACGCTGTAGCTTTGAATAGCATAGCAACAATCATGTAACCATCATGGCACACACTAGAGGGTGCTGTTGAATCACACAATATTCAGGTATTTGTGATTAAAGAATGGAAAGGTGCAGAAGAAATGTAGATTCTAGTAGTTTTATTGACAAACCAAATCAGTGAAAAGAACAGCTTTGCCAGAATTCTTGTTTGCATCACATTTACATCACAAAAAGACATGTTTTTTTTCTTAATAAAGTGTGGGAAGGAATAATCATACAACTTTATTACCGTAAAACAAACAAACAAACTCCAATTAACCATATTTGTTCTTCATTATTTAAATGAGGAGAGAAACCTCTAGGCAATGCATTGTTAGGCAAATTTAATTCATGCTCCTGTTAAAAACATCCTGGCAAGCTAATTAGTGTCTATGGCAACAGTTTATGATTTTTATGACTAATGCATTGCCACAAAGGTTATGACAAGGGATTAACATTGGAACTAAGATGTAACGGCCGTTGAATCACTTGTTAAAGGTGCACGCAACTTTGATTAAAATGTGTGTTAGAGGAGGGATGGTTACTTGTGCAGTGTTAAACTACAGCATGAAAAGCATGCATTGCATTCAATGCTTTATGGAATAAAAATGAGCTTATAATCAGGATAATAGTTGAAGTTGGCAGCTTTATTGTGTGTTGAAGTGGCTGGGCTGGCAGGGTTCCTTCAGGTTGAATACTGTGAAAATCAAATGGCATCATGCTTCTACTTCACGTGCTTTTAATGACTTTCTTTGAAGGAATAGTTCACCCAAAAATGAAAATTTGCTTAAAGTTTACTCAACCTCAGGACATCTGAGAGGCAAACTTTTTTCTTCATAGGAATGCATTCTTCATGTA